AAAAAGCATACAAGAAAAAAACAAATTAAACAAATAAAAATTGAATTTTAAAACACAAACATTTTCCCTCCTATATAAGTCTGAACTGTCATTGACCAAAAAAGAAAAAACTGTACAAAACCTTTCAATGCTTTTGTTGCTCTATATTTTGTTATAGAGAAAAGAATGTGAGTCTAAAACATAAAGAATAAAATAGAAGAATGACAAAGCAAGAAAGTTTCAAGAAACTTGAGGTAAAAAAAAATTCGAACGTTCATTTGACTTTCTTCTTCTCAAAAATTTTCAGCATTTTATAGTCCCTTTTTTTTGGAGAGAGGAAGAAGGGGAAGGAGGAATGGAGCTCCAGAGAGAGCTGTAGAAAAATTTTCTAGTATTTAGGTGGACAAAAACCACTTTGCTGATTACTATCTTTCGACAAACTTGCGTGCAGACAGAGATACCATTTGGATACCGGCAACAGTCTACTGATGAAAACGCTGAAAATTCTGCTTCTACGTTGTTAGAAAAATCGTTTGCCACAGCGTCGTCCATCACTATCACTTTTGATGTAACCGATGACAACAGGTGCAACAGCAACAGAACAGCATCACCGACAGCAGTAGTTTTAGCAACAGCAGCAACAGAAGCGAGAGAATCGACAGCAGCAATAAGAAACAGAAATATTTGAGGCCATCGGAGAGCAGGAAATCTGTGCTGGACTTGTTTTCTTTGCTCGTTCATTTCACCGCTTCTTTCTCTCTTTTTAGTTCGCCGTTCGTTCGATCGCTTGCTCATTCACTCCTTCATTCATTCATTCACCCATTCACTCACTCATTCATCCATTCAGTCAATCATTCATTCATTCACTTGTTCGTCTAATCATCCACTTATTCCTTTACACATAAAACCTTAACTAATTTCTTTTTTTGATTCATACGTACAGAAGAACCATCAATGATTTGACGTGATTCGGTGAAGAGAACCCTGGACAGGAAGTAAATTGTCTAATAACAAACTGCACGATGACGGAAGACATTCAAAGAAAATGATATATTATTAACTAACTGTCTCAAAATATCGCAGTCAGAAAAAAGAAACGAGGCAGCATCAGTATCAAGAATAGTATCAGCAACAACTATACAAATATATTATGCAGTGCTAACTTTGTTTTATTGCCGTATTACTGCCGGTCCTTTTGCTGTTTGTGTAATAAACCAAGTCAAAAAAAAAAAGTTGTCTTTTAAATAGAAAACAGAATTTGTACTGTAGTATAAATTTAAATTCAATTAGTCATAAAATAAACATTTATTGAATTGAAAAAAAAGCAGAAGAAAATTTGGAAAAGGGAAGAGAAAGGAAGGTAAAGTAAAGTCAAAAAAACTGGCGCAAGAAAAAAACGATGAATGACAACGGGCTGACTATTTTGGTGGCGGTGGTGGTGAAACTTACTCAGAAACTAACTTTGAAGTTAATTCATTTTCCTCTTCAATCTCTCTACTCCAAAAAAAATTTTTTCTTATTTTTTTTGCTTTCTCCCAAAGAAATTTTTTCTTCTTCTTCTTCTCTTTCTTCTTCTACTTGTGTAATAAGTAATTTAGTTTCGTAACTTCATTACTGAAATTGTCTGAAACAAAAAAAGGAAAAGGAAAAACTGACGAGTTTCGTGAATGGCTAGTCCTTTTTAGAATATTTCATACAACTACTACAGTTTTTCTTTTTAAATGCTCGTTATTTTTGGTATCTCTCAGGTTTTTTTTTTTTTTTTTTTTTTTTTTTTTTTTTTT